AGAAAGGGTCAGTTGTTATTGTGCAATTCTGCAGTTTAGAAACGCCAACTGCCTTTGCAGGTCTAAGATGTTTTGTCTGGCTCTTCTTCTACACTCCATCTGGAAACTCAAAGGTTAAAAATATTGCGGGGAGGGGAGGAAGAAACATGAGAAGACGACAGATATAGCTCCAGAAATTTGGGAGACAGACCCCGCTACGATTGTGTAATTAGCTATGCCCTCTAAAATGGAATAATTNACATGGGTGGCAAGCCACTCCCATAAAGGAGGCCACACCCACAGAGTAGGTTCCAACAATTTTTGAAACCCACCACTGGTTATGATGGACGTGGCTGGGGTCGGCGTGGCCATGGTGGGCAGAATGCTGCTAGAGGCCAGGGAGGCTGAAAACAGACTGCAGGGGGGGGATGCACATTCCTCCCCCCCCCCCCATGACCCATTTTGGCCAACAAAGGCACTGCAGGCTGGTCCTTTGATACTTGCAGGCCGGGTCCGTGGGCCAGATTTAAGTACCCTGCGGGCCAGATCCGGCCCCTGGGCCTTGAGTTTGACACCCCTGCTCTATACAGTTATCCATCAGGTTTCTGAGATTTCATGGCATGTACTAATCAAGAATATTATCCTAGTATTAAGGGCTGGGGCTTTAAGAATAAGAGAAAAACATTGCGGGTGCTATATTGTTTTGGCAAAAGTTTGTATAGCCCCTTGAACAATTGATCTTAGTTTGAGTAGTAAAGAATTACATCCATGAGTGACATCGAATGGGACTGACTGAGAAATGAGCGAGTTTGCCATTTTTATGCCTGAAAAATTGTTTGCTGTGGAATTTTCACATTTATCTTAGAGTCAAGAAAGTAGTTATTTTAAAAAAATTCTCTCTTCACGGAAGGTTAAGGCTTCTGTCTGATCCTTGGAACACGGCCATCAAATGTATATTAAAAACACTAATGAAAGAATTTATATATCATTATTATTTTGTTCTGCTCTTTGAATTCACCTGGGGTGTTTTTTTTTCCTCCAGGAATGCCTTAGATTATTTTCCAAAGAAGAAAAACTGACAGATAACAATCGATTTTATTGTAGCCATTGCAAAACTCGAAGAGATTCCATGAAAAAAATAGAAATATGGAAGTTGCCACCTGTCCTTTTAGTACATTTGAAAAGGTACGACTGGGTATCCATCTCTATATCTGTTGTGTCTCCAAATATTATGGGTGTCCAGAGTCACCCTTGGTGAGACAGGTAGCTGTATAAATTTGATCAATGAACAAATAAAAATATTGATTACTTTTGATACACCCATCATTGCCTAACACTTATTTCCTGTTGCTTATGGTTAGGTTTTCATATGATGGGCGGTGGAAACAGAAGCTTCAAACATCTGTTGATTTCCCTTTGGAGAACCTTGACCTCTCGCAATACGTCATTGGCCCCAAGAGTACTTTGAAGAGATACAACCTGTTTTCTGTGTCTGTAAGTAAAAGCCTTTTGAAGTAATGGTTGGTGATGGGGTGGCGTTTCGTTACCACACTAGGTAACATCATCAGCAGGATTTTTTTGTCCTATCTGCCTTCATTTATAAATGCCCTTGACAAGAAAATCCTGCTGATGATGTTACCTAGTGTGGTAACGAAACGTGCAGTAACTAAATTGTAACAAGCTTGGGAGAACAAACCACTGCCAAAATTCATGTTAAATATATATGAACAAGGGAGTCTGTTTATTCACTAATCAGCCAATAGCATTCAAAAGGCTCTTTACCGAGTAAAGTCAAAGCTATGGTTTTCGCAGGAATGATGTAGGACTATGAGAGTTGGATCATATGGAAGGCTGAGTGCCTACTACAAGTATTACTACAAGTATTTTCTATTATTTAAAATTTATCAATAATGTCTATTCCTAGACTCTTTTCCCACATGTAGTTTCCCTGAAACTCAGTGGTGCATTAACCATTAAGTGGACCAAGCACATGCTTAGGGCACCAGGCCCAAGTTGAGGACCCGGATTGTTGTTGGGGGCAATATGCTGATTCTGTAAACCGCTTAGAGAGGGCTGAAAGCCCTATGAAGCGGTATATAAGTCTAACTGNAGGCTTTCAGCCATACAGATCCGCCATCTGAATCCTGTGTTTGGCGGGATGGGACCGGCTCTGACCGGCCTTCGTAATTTGGGGAACACTTGCTACATGAATTCAGTGCTCCAGTGTTTGTGCAATACCCCTCACCTGGCGGATTATTTCAACAGGAACTACTATCACGAAGATATCAACCGGTAATTTTGGCTTTTCCTGACCCCCCCCCCCCCTCATTTGAATGCAAGCATGGTTGCAGTGAATTATTTCCTTAATGGCATGATTGCACATAAGTACCCTGTTTCCCCAAAGATAAGACACCCCCCGGATAATAAGCCCAATGTGGCTTTTGAGCGCATGCACTAAAATAAGCCCTCTGTCGGGTTTTCGAAAGATGCCCCAATTGATTCATGAGCCTAGAGCCAAGTTTCAAAAGAAAAACCAGGCCTTTATTAGGATCACTATTTAGGCAATACCCTATTGCAGTCAGATCTAAACCTCATTTGAATTAGGGCTGGACTTTACCCCTGTTCCTTCCCTCGCCCTCAGTCTGTGTCATAAATCACATTCGCCAACGAGGTGAACGCCTCACAAGCCTGCTGTAGTAATCTGAGATCCGACTCTACCCGAAGGTGTGCATGGAATGCATACTCCTCCTTTCCTCACCATGGCAACTTTATGAGTTGACACCCTCTCCCGAAAATAAGCTCTCCCCGAAAATATTGCAACACAGCAGCAGCCGTGAAGTGACCACGCTCACCACCTCCTGCACCTCAAAAATAATAAGACCGCTCCAAAAATAAGGCCAAGTGTTTATTTCAAGGGGGGGTCAAAAGAAAATAAGACCCTGTCTTATTTTTGGAGAAAATACCTCCCAGCAGCCAGTAAGATCCCACAGATTGGGCCTCCTTCAGATGCCGTCAACCAGACAGTGTCGGCTGGCGGGCCCCCAGAGGAGGGCATCCTCTGTGGCTGCTCTGACTCTTTGGAATCAGCTACCCCCAGAGATCCAGACCATACCCACTCTCA